CTTCTGATTTCCCTATCCTGACAACAAAGGTATAAAACAAATTAAAATTCCAGAAAACTACCTGTTAGAGTTGTAGTACTCAAGTCACAAGAAGTGACGACTCAAAACATCTATTTAGAGCAACCAGTATTCCAGGATTCTCCAAGAGTGTGTAATTGAAGCCTATATGCTCTCTTGGCCCCCTGCTCCCAGGTCGATTCAATAGCTTTGACCCCTGGTTTACTGTAGACATCCAGTGGGTGTCTTTCTTCACTGTTGCTACCTTGGGCCTCCTTTCAAACTCAGTTTGTGGGAGCAGGTGGAGTAAATCACCTTTATCAAAAATCTAGCACTCGAGACACCCCGACAGGTCCCAGAAGCCTGTTCGACGAGCGTCAAAGTAAGGGTCCCAGAATAAAGACCCTTACAGAGTATACGGTTATTTCATGAGGGCTATGTCCAATAACCTCCTCCAAGTTACTTTACAGTTCCCTCGATGATCTTATTATTATTTTCAGGTCAAAAATCTCTTAAACGGAAAAAAGTTCATGATGACAGTAGTGGGAGTGGAAGCAATGATTGTGATGAAGATGGGCGGAACATCAAAGTCGGAATCTAGTTTTGAAGGAGGCTCAAGTAGTTCTTTAAATCTACATGAATCTGTCTCTGGGACTGGGACCTCTGAACAAACTGAAGAACGCGATGGCTACCATGAAAATGACATTGGTCGTTATGTTAGTTGTGCCAATAACTTGCCTTATGAAAAAAAGAAGGAATAGTTGACAAACCCTTGGGTTCCATCATCCAATTACGATTTTGATTCTGATGCCATTCATTTGAAAAGGAAATTCAACCATGGCTGGTTAGATCAATATACTCCATGGCTGGTGTACTCAAGTCGTTTGAAAGGTGCTCTATGTTTTTATTGTGTGTGCACGTTGGCAGCCATTATCACAAATGTTCAACAGCTGCTGCAAAATCATATTTTGAAAATTCTCCTGTTGATGTCCAGTTGCAAATAGGGCACCATGAGACGATTGAAGAAAATAATAAAATATTGTCAACAATTATTTCATGCATAATATTTCAGAGGGAAAGGAGGAAATGAGGGAGTTTTCTTTGATCTTTTAAATTTGAGGATTGACTCTAGTGATGAGAAGCTAAAGAGCCACTTGGATAAATGTCAAAAAAATGCAGTCTATACCTCACTAACAATCCGAAATATGATCATACAATGCGGTTATAAAAAAAAATGGATGACTGTAAACGGGCAAAAGCTGATGCTGTAATGACTGATGAAACAGTAGATATCGCTGGAAAAGAGCAGCTTTCTATCGGATTAAGGTTCTATGATGGAAGCCCGAAAATAATCAGGGAGGAATTTTTGGGCTACATTGAGTGAAAATGTCAAAATGCTTCTACAATCGCTAGCGCAATTCAAAGTTTTTTAGAAGATAATAATTTTTCCGCCGATAAGTGTGGTATTCGGATTTGACGGGTGTTCCACGATGGCCGGCAGAGAAGGTGGTGTACAGGCCATTTTTAAAAAAATATATGCTAAATCTTTATTCTTCCATTGCTCCAGCCGCAGACTAAATCTTGTGGTCAATGATACTAGCAAGCTACCAGAAATAGGAAACACAATTGCAACGGTTAAAGACACAATAACCTTCTTTCGTGAATCGCCCGTAGGAAATCGGTTCCACATCTTTCAAGGCCCTGGTGGTCTAGACTAGATGGTCAGAAAAATATAAGAGCATTGAAAAATTTTCAGAATCTTCACTGACATTGTCAAAGCAACATCTATCTGTCGGTAACGATGCAAAAAGAAAATCTGCCTACCAATTGCACTGTGCAGTTACTAACCCAATATTCATCCTACGCTTTTAAACATAATTCCAAAATACTCTGCAATTTTGGAACCCGTTGTAAACGTTTTACAACGTGAAAGTATGGATTTGGTTATGGTGAAGAAACATATTGATGATATTCTAGATGTAATCAAAGAAGAGCGACAAGATATCGAAAATGTTTCTTATGATTTATTCAAAAAATCACTCGATATCGCAGAGAAAGTAGGGGTTGATTTGTCAGTACCACGAGTAACTCAAAAGCAAGTATACAGAAGTAATCCACCATCTGAGTCTGCAGTTGGATACTGGAAGCGATCAATAATCATCCACTTCTTGATTCTTTGACTTCATCTTTGGATGCTAGATTCTCCAACGAAAACACACCTGCTTTTGCTTCAACTTTTATTATTCAAGCATGCTCGAAATGGCTTCAAAAGATTTCAAAAAAAAAAAAAAGCAGAATCCCATGAAATTTCATGAGTTGGGTGATGTCCCTGCAGAATTAGATTTGCGGTACAATATGTGGAAGAAAAAGAATTTAGCAGAAGACAAATTAAAGGACATTGAAGTGGCTGCACTTTTGGAGGAAGCTAATGTTTTATCCCTGCAACGAGGCATGCACTTCTAATATTAAGTGCTTTCCCATCCACTACTGCTACCGTGGAAAGATCGTTGAGTACCCTACGAAGGGTGAAAACCTGGCTCAGAAGTACAATGGGTGATGGCAGACTCACTGGGTTGTGTTCGATGAGTGTGCATCGAAAATTTTTGAAGGAAAATCAGGACTGCATAGTGAAGGAAGTTTTGGATGAATTTAGTTTGAACCCAAGAAAAATTGTATCAGTTCAATTCAAATATAATCAAAATCTCTAAGTTCTGTTTTCATTTGCCTTTCCTTTTTATCCTAAAATTTTACATTTTGGACAACTATGGACCATGGTTTGCCCCCCCCCCTGTTATAAATCCTGGCTACGCCCTTGGTTCACCGCTGCATTTTTTCTTTATTTCAATGTATTAATTGTGTATAAAACAATGAACATATTTTGTGACTCAAGTACCCTACCTTTGTGTTCAAAATCTCTGTGGCCATAGTGATGTATTGAACTTTTTGAATGATTCACAGATTGTGAATCTATGAGTGATCGATCATTCAGAAGATCATGTGAAGAAAAACTCATACAGGGTGGTCCAACGAAAGAATTTCACCCTGGATTTGGGGCTTTCAAATGAAAATTCGTACAAACGTTCAGACCAGTCTATTTCTGATTCGAGGGTGAACGACTTGTTTGCTTTCTTCATCCCTGTAACTTCAAGGCCTTACCAGGAGGAAGCACAAACCCCTGTTTTTAATAGGAGTGAGGGGTGTTTCGATACCTGATTTTGAAGATTTTATCGATTACTATCAGACCCTACAATTTCGCGACATGATTTCCACCGATTAGGAAATGAGAGGTAACATGGTGGGAGAAACAATATCGGATTTACCTCGGAAATGTTATTCTTATTCGGAAAGTATTCACCTAGATGTTATTTTTTACCACAAAAAAGTTTGTGGACGCACTATTTGTTCTTTCACTTATACTTCCACTTCTATTACACAACTGCCCACAGGCTGAACGGATATGCATCTTCGAAAAAAAAAAAGTCAGAATAATTGATGATGCAGGACCCAGGTAAGCATGTAGACAGATATCTTCGAAATTGAATATTATGACATTACCAGCTTCATATATATTTCATGATCTTTCAGAGGTTCACCAGAACATCCACTTATAATAACACACACAACTATCATACAAGAAATAGAAACTCACTTATCACCACAAGACTACGACTAGAAACCTCATCCAAAAACTCCTTAAATGTCGATCTGTACAATAAACTTCCCGATGATTATAAAAACCATGATATTACCAAATTTTAAACTTCAATCAGACAGATGTTACTAAAGTTCAATTTTCATTCTATAAGAGAATACTTATGTGTCGAACTCACTGATTAACATGGAATACCCACCTTCTCAGTGACACAGTATCTGTTCATTTCATCGACTGTTGAAAGCTTGCTATACTTGAATATGTTTATGTTTGTCTTAACCTGTGTTATATTCGTTAGTATTATTTGTTTGTATTTTACAAGAGCAAGAAAAATAAATTGATTATAATTATAATAAGACCGACAACAATAACAGCAACAAATATAACAACGATACCAATAATAATAATAATATCAATAATAATAATAACAACAATAGTAATAATAATAATAATGCACAGCAGGTTCATCATTTCCCTAGTGAACATAGCTAAACATTTTTCATTTCTATCAAATTCCTTATGAAATTTCTCTGACTATTCAAAATGAAATTCTTCAGATTCCATTTGAATTTTTTTATATTTGTGACATTTTTTATTTCCGCTGGGATTTTATTGAATTTTCTGCTATTCTGCTTTATTTTTGTAACAGCTGAAAGGCAAGAACATTGTCTTTGTGAAGTTTATTGTTAACAATTTATGTCCAAACCAGTCTGTGAGCATTTTTAAGTAATCTTCAGCTATCTGTTTCAGCTCATGCCATGATTTCCCTTCATATAATATAGCCGTATCGTCGGCAAAGCTAACAATAGTGCCGGCGCTTCGTTGATTGAGTAGGTTGTTAAGATATTATGTTAAATAGTATCGGTCCTAGGACTGTTCCTAGTGGGATTCCAAATTTAACTATTCTTCCACTACTTAGGCAGTTATTGATCCTGACAAATTGTTTCCTTTCGGTCAAGTAACTTTCTATCAGCTTTAATACAATTCCTCTGAAACCAAGATCTTGCAAGGCGTTCAACAACTGTATATTAGATACTGTGTCAAACGCCTCAGCAAGATCCAGGAAGCATTTTTCCGATCCCTATGTGGTTACCGCTACACGGAGCGCTAATCGTATAGGACTTGTTAAATTATAATCGACGTTGCGTTTCCTATTAGGCCAGCGCACAAAAATGAAATAACTGCGTTCATTATGCTTATTTTTCACAACAGGGATGATTACAGTTCGTACAATTTAGATATTATGAAAAGTGCATGACTTTTTACATTATTGTGTTGGTTGGTAGTACTTAATTAATAAATGCCTTATTGAGTTAAATAACTTTTATTAAATAATAAGTTATTGATTATCTCAATGACTTTTAGCATTCGGTTGATTTGCCAAAATGTTAGAGATGATAGACCTTTTCTTCTTTGTTCTACGTAATTTTTCGGCATTAGATGGTCTGCCTGCTTGTATTGTTCTAGAGCCTGCATGTAGCCCTCTCTCTGCACGACGTGCAATCGAAGTTGGTTGTACTTTGATTCGGCGTCCTTGTTTTTTTCTTGCTACAGCGGAACAAATATCATAAAATCCCTGTTCATTTTCAATATTATTAATTTTAGCATTCAGTTCTTTTATGTTTTTGAGCATATGTTTGGATGGATGGGCTTGTGCAAATTGGTGCAATTTTTTGAAGTTTCCTTCTAATATCTTTAGTTCTTCACTATATTCTGCGATGATATTTTCATTCATACAATTTTCCCCTAATACTTTTGTTGTATGCTCCTGAGACGACTGGACATTGGAGTTAGAAGGCTCGCAAATGATTGTTGGTATAGACTGCATAGGCTCATTAAAATCCTTCTGATCTTCTGGTACAGAATCGGAATTCAAATCCATATTCATAAAAAAAGAACTGTTAACATTATTCCCCATTGCTAAAGTAGCAAGTTCAACGCGGTCTTGAAACAACAAATGGGGTGTCGTGATCAAATTGACACCTGATTTATAAACTGCACAAAGGTGCTTGCAAAATTGACCCCCTGCTCCTGCAGGGCAATCACACTGCTCTATTTCAACGTCGACCGTGTACATGAACTTATTGTCTTGTGAAGATGAGACCATAAACAGTGTATTAGTTTTTTTTATCACTTCTAATAGATTAGATTTATAACAAAACTTTTTAAAATAGTGTTGAAGCTTCATATCTCTACCATTTGCAAATGAAATTATTTTTTGTTTATAAAACTCTTCTAGAGAAAAGCATACAAATTCTGCCAATGAGGTTGCATTAAATGCTTTGCATCTCTGTAACACCTGATCTTTGAATATCCTTATAGATACCTCAACAATATTGTTGGTATTGTGACCTCTGGTTCTATACTGATTTCGAAAATGATGACACCACTCATGTCTTCTCTTCCATATATCGCTAAAATAATCTAAAAATAGTTGGTACTTTTTTGCAACAGTATCTTCGCATAGTGACTTCTTGTTCAATTCACATTCAATTTCATTTTGAGCATATAGCACGTCTCGGAAAAGAAGCATCAAGTGTCTTCTATGATCTTTGTCAATGTTATGAAAACTGTCCCATAACCAGCGCCACACTGCTTGTAGAACATGAAATGTGCAAAGCAATAATTTAGATTGTGGAAAAATTTTGCTTAAAGCGTTCCTCTCGGCTGCACTATCATCCGTCATAAATATGGCTGGAAAGCCTTTGCCATAAAATCCATCGGTCCCAATTAAATCATGAAATTGCTTGAAACATAATTCATAAACTTCCTCGGTTTGAAAGTTATGAATGATGCAGCCCAGCGGCACACCTCCAATTTTACTAGCACCAAAAAAGAACGTGACTGAAGAACCACCTTGGTCACAGGAACCGCTAGAATCTACAAATATAACTTCACTCGAAAACTGCATGTTATGGGCTCTTTGCATCAAAGGAGTCAAGAGTACACAGCAAAAAGGATCTTCTTGAATACTTATTTTGACACCAATTTCTTCAAAATAATCCTTCTTTTGTAGAAACTTCTCTATCATACTGTGTACTTCACGAGTGCCATAATTTTCTTTTCTAAAAAAGAAGATATTATTATTCCCAAGGTCAAGAAATAATTTAAGACAGATAAAATATTATTAAAAACTTTTTTCTGGGACACTTTGTATATCATAATTTTTAAAGACCCCGCATAAATATAAATGGGTATGGTAAATTTGTGGTTCTTAACGTCCTGTATATGCCTGGGGAGAATTTAAAAAAAACACATACCTCCAAGTTTCGTATAAATGATAAATAGAACGATCAATAGGATTAATGTGACCATTGGCAAGTACTTCACATATTTCTTCTAAAGGTGTAGTTGCCACTAGCGAAGATCTGTGGAATGATTTTGCTTCGCTTGCCGACAGTCCATCTTCAAAATACTTGTAAAACTTTTCTTTGGTCGACCCACTCATGCGTAAAAAGCTGTACGCCTCGGCAACATGAATTCGGTGAGTGTGTTTGTAGCGAATCTGTTTCAATAAAATAACGAATATTAAGTACTTATAATAATATATAGAAATGTACAAACCGCTTTTTCCTATGTTCAACCGTTTAAATTTTACATTCAATCAAAATGTGAAAATGTCAATCTTCAGACGTGAATATCTCGACAACAACTGAACTTAAATATCTATATGATATATACTTAACAAAAGTACCATGTTTTTCAACGTAGTTTTTATAAATGTCATAATATACAGGGCGTTCTATTAAAAAAATGTTACTTTTGCCCGAGACTTTTTACCAACCACTGTGCATTGTGTTCAGTGGAAAATAATGTTATGATGGGTTGCTGTACAACTTATCTATTTGAATATTTTTATTATTGGCTGTTATCAAAATATCAACCGACAATAACGCACTATTGGTACACCCTGTATATCTTAAATTACTATAGTGCAGGAAGTGATTAATTTCCAATAAGTTTATAAATATGAGAGACACTTTCTGACGAATGTACACTATCATTTTTCCTACGATCATGCATGCACAAATGACAAATTTGTCGTTCTTTGGTTTTTTAAAAAACTCAACTCTTCATACGCAGCGGAAAAAAGCACAGGTACAAGTACTTTCCAGAGAATATGTGCTTTTCACTTTCCGCAGGCGTGTGATACTCACAGCATTCTCATGGAACTAGAGAGTGCGTATTTTGTCATTTTCGTATGTGATCGCAGGAAAACATTTTTTCTTCACAATATGTACCTACTTACCTCAATTACTCCATTCAAGTTTTCTTTCAAAAGAGGGTCTCTGTATATAGTGAATCTGTTTGTTTTTTTAACTCTCCCAGCAAACACATCTGTTATATTTACATCACTGTTATATAAAATCAACGGAACTTTTTTACATAGAATATTTACGTAAATATTCCATAATACTTCTGAAATATGTGAACCTCCTATTTATATAAAATATTTACGTAAATATTCCGTAACAATCCTGAAATATGTGAACCCCATAATTATATAAAAATGTAACGTAACTATGATGTAAATGATATGTGACAATTTGATATCAATATACAAGCTTATTTGATAGCTACATGACTTTACTAGGACTCTCGGCCGTAAATTCTCTGCAGACTTGATTCTGCGTCAATTAAGGATATTCGTTGGGATGATCAGTACCCGTGGTCTCGCGCTGTAATGTTCCCCCACCGCGATGATTATTATTTTTCGCTCTCGCACTGTAGCGTTTCTCCGTGACCACTCTGAGGTTATAAGTAATGAGTGAAGACTTGGAGACTGAAAGCATTTTCAGTATTTTCTTACTATTCCGAGTGATTTTCTTGTTTCCACCAATTTTCTGCGCTGTAGTGGTCCCCCATCCCACATGCCCAATTTCTATTGGTCGACTACTTTGAGGTTATGAGTTATAATCATAAGTGAAGACGAGACCATAAACAAACTACACTGAAGGCATTTTCGGTATTTTATAACTATTTCGAGTGTTTTTCTTGTTTCCACCTGCTGTGTTTGATGAACTGAACTAAACTAAAAGTGCTAATAAGAATAAGTGAAGGTGAGTGAGAATAAAACATGCCTTGAGATTTTCCTAACCTCTGTGAAAACAACAAGAAAGAAATAGTTACTTATCTATCCTGGACCTCTTAAATATGCCTAGAATAAATGATGAATCTGGTAGGTATTGATAGAATCCGAGGTATAATCTGGTCAAACGCCAATTCTCATATGAAATTGAACAAAAGCCAGTGATTGATTATGATGGCTGATGAAAACCCCAGTGAAAACCCCAAAGTGCCTCACATTCTGGATTAAAGTTATTATTATTATTGGTTATGGAAATCTAATCATTTTGTCAGTGATTATTATTTTTTGTTTCATAAATAAGTTCATGAAGAACCCCAATAAGATGAATTCTGAAATGTATACTTTTCCAGGTAGGTACATCTTTTCAAAACTCAAGGTGGTAAAGATGGGAGAGACTATCTATATAGGGGCCACACAACGTTCCTGGTAAGGGCAGAGGGCAAACATTGAAGTCAGAGATTTGAAATCAATCGAAATATCATTATCTGGTAATATATATTTTAGATTTTAATTTGAAAAATGAAAAAGCAATATTTTTTCAGACTCCATCATTATCACACACCCTTCGATATCTTACTCTGATAGATAAACCAGCAGGAAGGTGGTTCTGATTTAGTCACCAGAGGTTGAATGGAGGGTTGAATTGGGAGATCAAGAAGAAAGATATAATTTGATTACTCACAATTTTGATTTTTTGAATTTTTGAAGTATACATAAATGGTCTCACTATTTTCAAAAAAATATAAAGGTCATGTTTTTCATTTGATAGTTGATGTTGTTTTATCATCTTCTATTCAGGACATTCCATTTTATTCGATTTGAACATCATTCAGCCTATGATTTTTTGACAATTTTTTTGTTTTAAAGTTAGCAACTGATCAATTATACTGTGTACTATAATGCTTAATATTTGGAACAGAAAGTCTTAAAAATTTTCGAGCAGAGTTTTTTTGTACATGAGGAGAATTGAAGTGAATACTGAATGATATAGGAGATAATAAACCATCAAGCATTTTATGACTAATCTGTCTCTGTTTTATTCTCCCACACATTCAAAAATTGTCAAATAACTTATTCTTTCTCACACTAGCCCACTTCCAACTCTCATGCACATTTCTATAACCATATATCATCATCAGTAATATCAGTATAGATATTATGGAGTGTAGAGTTTGGATCACCTACTGAGATGATTGTACTTAGTTATCAATATGTGCATATGCCTGTGAAGTGAGTTAGTGAAGTGAAGAGGTTATTCGTGAAATTCCGATATTAATTTCGGATATTAGTCAAGTAGTTTCATCAATATTATATTAAAATGGAGTCATATTTGTAGCTGACATTTTTACATAATAGGGATGTAAATTTTACATAACATCTAGAGAATGTTATGTAATATTTATGTCAGTTTGTTATATAGGTAACATCTTATTTATAGCAATGAAATTATATAAAATATATATAAAATAGTGACATAATTGTTACGTAATAATCATGTAGTATTTGTGGCGGACATTTCGCCATAACAGTGATGTAAGTCTTACATAACATAGTTACATAACACGTATTGTCAGTTATGTAACACTTATGTCAATTTTACATAATTGTGTTTGCTGGGCTGTATATGATTTTGGCAGGGCACTTTTTGTTTCGCTCCCTTGTGCTTTCGTTTTTGCGGCCTTTATTTTTTTTGTTGTGATGGCAAACAAAATCCTTTCTATACTGAAGCCTCTGCAAGTTTGTATAATTTTGTGAAACAATCCATTGCGTGTTTGTAGCAGCCGAAAACTCGCTTATCCACTGCATACACTGTTCATTGTAGTCTAGAGAATTTACTTTTGTTCGCAAAACTACTTCATATTCATTCTCTTTCTTACTGACACAACTTATAAATTTACACGTAGTATCAAACTTTTTAATTATCTCTTCCATAACGCGAAAGTCAACAACAAAATCGAACAGAATAATAATTATTTTCACTTAACCTC